CTGGCTGTCTGTGGAGGGGGCAGCAGAGAGGGAAGAAGGGCTGATGGGCATCTTTGCTCTTTCTCAGCTTCATGGTATAGGGAAGACATTTCTTCTACCCACTCTGGGTCCTTCTGGCCAGACAATGAATTAGATTCATGTGAGATAGAATAACAAGAGAAAATTAAACAAAGCTTTATAACATGTATACATAGGAGAGGCTCAGAAAAACTGAGAAACTCGCCAAAATGGCGGAAGCTCTCACCTTAAACACCATCCTCAACTAAAGACAAAGGAGGATGTTGGGGGCAGGGGGAGTCAGTTATGGGAGATCACCAGAAAAGTACAGTAAACAAGAGTAAGGTTATTATGCAGACTTGAGTCCTTGCCTTCCTCATTGATAAGAGTTTCTAGAGATAAGGTCATTCCCCCCTCTTCCTGGTGCAGAGAGGGAGACACCTTTACAGATGGAGATTTCCCTTACAATGTAAATGTCTCTTAACAAAGGGTAGGTAAATTCTACTTTCCAGAGTTTCTTTCCTGTCTGCAGTTTTTAAAAGTAACCAGCCCCAAATAATCCTCATGCCAAAGAGATATATCTTGGGGTGGCCAATTCCAGTCCCCTACAATGGACACTACTCCTGAATGCAGAAGCTCAGTTCCTGGAGAGAGAAGGGCCTTTCCGCAGTCAGGGGCATTGGAGAAACTGCAGCTCCCTGCTTAAATCCCTTTCAAGGTCAAGCGTACTTGGATAGAACGATTTTACACCGGGGAGGGATCACTCACTTGCCTGTGAATGAAGCCAAGTCTGAGAGTGGCAAACTCCAGGTGGCTTTCAGGAGGAAAACCAACCCAGTGTGGACACACTGCACTTGTTCCTATTCATAGTTTTGAGAGCCTAAATCACTTAGAATTTGCTCACCAGCAGCTTCCAGGAAGAAAAGGATTTTCTGCTTTTTGCAAGAGCAATTGCTATTCTTCAAATTGGCCCATGATATTTTAAAATCAACTTTATTGAAGTGTAATTTCATACAATAAAGTGTATCTAAAGTTCAATGAGTTTTGAAAAATTATGCATCTGTGAAACTACAGCCACAATCAAGATAAACAACTATTTCCTCATTGCCAATAGGCTCCTCGTACCCCTTTGCACTCTGTCCTCTCTCCTTCCCTATGTCTAGGCTTTACTGTCACTATGGATTAGCTTGCATTATTTAGACTTTCAGGTAGGTGGAGTCAGACAGCGTGTCCTCTTCTGTGTCTGGCTTTCTTCATTCAGCACAATGATTTTGAGATTTGTCCATGTTGTCTGTATCAGCAGCTCATCCCTTTGGGCTGACCCCTCATGTGGATGTACCATATCTTGTTTACCCATTCTCCTGCTGATGGACATTTGGGTTGTTCACAGTTTGTGCTATTATGAGGAAACCTGTCAAGAACATTTGTGTAAGTTCTTGTGTGGATATTCGTTTTCACTTCTCTTGAAAATATCTAGAAGTTGAATGAGTGGGTCATACAGTGAGAGTGTGTTTCATAAGAAATTGCCAAACTGCTTTCCAAAGCAACTGTTCCATTTTTCATCCCCACCAGCAGTGTATGAGAGTCCCAGTTGCTCTACATTTTTGTCAACACTTGGGGTTGTCACTCTTTTTAATTTTAGCCATTCTAGTAGGTATACAGTTGTATCTCATTGTAGTTTTTTTTCCCCCAAGAAAGATTAGCCTTGAGCTAACATCTGCCAATCCTCCTCTTTTTGTTTTTCTGAGGAAGACTGGCCCTGAGCTAACATCCATGCCCATCTTCGTCTACTTTATATGTGGGATGGCTGCCACAGCATGGCTAACCACACAGTGCCGTGTCCGAACCCGGGATCCAAACTGGTGAATCCCAGGCCGCCAAAACGGAATGTGTGCACTTAACCGCTGTGCCACTGGGCTGGCCCGTCTCATTGTAGTTTTTATTTGCATGTCCTGATGACTAATGGTGAACATATTTTTCCTGTGCTTTTTGGCCTTTGGTATATCTTCCATTGTGAAGTGTTTGCTTGCCCATAATGTTTTAAATTAAAAATTATGCTTCGAATAGTCTTGTTAAAATATCCATGACCACACAACACAACTACCAAGAAATCACCAGCGCATCCTTCCCATTTGTGCTGCGTTTGTGGACCCAGCTTTAGAGTGTTGCTGACCCTGCCTCCCCATCTCAGCCTCCATGCGTTTTGCTGGTCCCTCGATGGTTGTTGCTATATATCGGCATTAACCAGGCCTGCCTGTTAATGAAATAACATTCCATTGATTAATTCCACAAATGGTTGCATACCTATTCTCTTCAAATTGGAAATTTGCACAAAATGGAAGCTTTACAACCTGTGTTTCAACTACTCTGCTTCAAGTTCAGAGATTCCATAACCAGATTTGATTTGATTTGTGTCTTCAGGGAGGATGATTATGGATGGCTGGAAGGAATTGAGAAAGGCAGGAGATGGTTGGAGAAACATCTCCTCAGATTGAACCTGTAACTGGAAGCTCAGGGGCCTCCCTTAGGGCTTGGCACTGCTTTGGCGGAGGCTTCGGTGCAGTTACTCATCACCAGGCCCTAGAGAAAATTCAACAGCCAAGGGATCGGGGGGAGCCAAGAAATGGGACGTGCATATTCAGCCAGACACGCAATGGGGAACAAGAGCCGGGCTGGGTTCCTGTAGAGTCTGAGGTGGGGGCAGGAAAATTGAGGGACTATTAGGAAAACATAACCAACAAGGTGGAAGAAACTGAGGGGCTTGCAAAGAAGAATTATTAAGGGAGAAAAGCATGAGCTACGCAAATAGCAGGAACTTGACAAATGTGGCTGAAGCGGGTTGAAACTGTTCTACTAACGATGACGGAGAGCCAACCGTGTGTAGGCACGATTACACATTCCAAATTGTTAGCATTACAGATGGGAAAGGAGTGTTTATCACAACTTTGTGTGAATCGCTGCAGGGCTGAGAAAATCACGCATAAGGAAATGTAACAGGAATATCGGGGGAAGAAGAGGAGAACTTTCCAAACTGGTTTCACCAGGGACTAGCCTTCCAGGGCTGCTGTGGTGATGCCTGGAGTTCAATAGTCTAGGAGCTACAAGCCTTCTCCTCGTCCCCTTGGTAAGTGGATGACTTATGACAATCGCCCTGGCTGTCCCCGGCAACTTAGCCCAGCTGGTGGACCTCTAGAGATTCGGCCAGCCCGACGTCCAGAGTTTCCTTCAGTGAAACACCTCTCCTCCAAAACTTCCAGTCTGTGGGACTGTCAATCATGTCTCCTCATCTGCACCAGCGGTGTGAATGCGTGTGACCCTGCTCCCAGATCACTCCTGGGACTCCTGGTCACACTTACTGAGCACACGCTATTTGCAGGAATTATTCTCAGGGCTTCACATACATCAACTCATTTAATCCTCAGAACAACTCCATGAGGCAGGTACATTTTACAGATGAGCAAATGGAGGGAAAGAGAGTTAAGCGACTTGCTCAGGAAGAGGCAAAACCAGGTTTGATCCTGAGCATCTGGTTCTTGCTGTCTGTAGGGAAGACAGAAAGAGGGGTTATTTTAGCTTTTCTAGCCTCTAAAGTAGAGGCAGGCAAGAAATATGAGGTTGGGAGACGTTGAATGAGTCACCTCTAATGTCTGCCAAATCTGTCTGCTCAGTTTTCTTTCTCTGTTATTGACTGTTTCCTCCTGCCTGTCATGGCTTTGTGCATGATTCAATTCTCCAAGGTCAGACTCATTGCTTCACAGACTACATCTTTTAGAAGACTTCCAATTTTCATTTTGCAACTGATTTCACTGTGGTCTTGCATACATAGTCACAGATGTCATCTGAAAATGGCAGATACATTTACAGTTTCTGACAGCGCAGGAGAGACTGACCACAAGTCTTTGATTGAAAGCCGGTGTGGATGCTAGTGCGCTTCAGGAGGAATGTTCCACTGAGGGACGTCTAACTAAATGGTCAGCTCAAGAGGATGTTTTTTATGTTATAAGATAGTTGCTTTCCTATGCAACCTGTTGTCCCAGGTTCTTGCATTAATGAACACCAGATCAGGAGAGCTTCCTGAAGACAGTACAGTGTAACCTAATCCTTGATTCCCTCCTCAGCCCCACATCTACCTTAAGAAGTGTTAAAGGACAAAAATTCAACAGAGTAAATTTAAAGATCTAATTGGCTTTCTTCAGCCATTTATGAATTGGCAAATATGTCCAGCAAATAGACAGCAGCTCCGAGAAGTTACACAAAATGGAAGGTTTTGTTTTTGTTTGTGTTTTTCCCAATAGGTCATGTGGTTTATAGCATTGTGTAAATTTCAGGTGTACATTATTTTTTTTTTTTGAGGCAGATTAGCCCTGAGCTAACATCTGCTGCCAATCCTCTTCTTTTTGCTGAGGAAGACTGGCCCTGAGCTAACATCCATGCCCATCTTCCTCTACTTTACATGTGGGACGCCCGCCACAGCATGGCTTTTGCCAAGTGGTGCCATGTCCACACCCGGGATCCGAACCAGTAAACCCCGGGCCGCCAAAGTGGAACAGGCCCACTTAACCACTGCACCACCGGGCCGGCCCCAGGTGTACATTATTATTTATCAGTTTCTGTATAGACTGCATAGTTCTCACCACCAATGGCAAATTTTTACCTGTCACCATGTATATGTGCCCCTTTTCCCCTTTCACCCTCCCCCCAACTCCCTGTTAACCACTAATCTTTCTCCTTATCCATAAAATGAAAGGTTTTTATAGGCAGAAAGAGGGTGGACAAAGAAGTTAAAAGTGTGGATTGTTTCAGGCAAGGTCACTTTCCCTTAGGGGAGGGCAAGGGGTCTTCTCAGGCAGACCACCTCATTAGCATCGATCAGGAGATTCCAGGCTGATTGGTTTAAAAGTCCACTCCTGGGAGAGGCTGAAACTAAAATTGGGTTAAGATTAAGGCTCGGTGGTGCTTAGCATAAGTGACTGCATTTGGGGTCTGTTGTTTCTGTTTAACAGGAGGCTATTCAAAGAATGTGGGTAATATTAACAACGTCAACAAGAAGGATCTGTAGGTCCGAGGCCCACTGAGCTCCCGGGCGCATCCATTCCTCAGTCCTCCACTTTGCCCTCTGTCCACTGCTGGTCTGATGTCCGTGGAAGTCCTTCCGTGCCAGCACTTCTGAATCTACGGCTGCCGCGTCACAGAACCTGACTTCTGGTGCAGCCCCGCTTCTGACCTACCTGGGGCGCGTCTGCTTGTCGACGTTGACCGAGGGGTAGCTGTTGAGCGGCCGGTTCCGTCTTTCTGGGTGAAGAAGGGCCCCTCTGCTAACATTTCGCGACTCTTTTTCAGTCCTGAAATCATGACGTCTCTCCCTCGGTCTCCTTTGACTCCCTGAAGATGCTGAGACAACATCTCTCTGGGATGATTTGGAAGAAGTTTGGTGGCGCCAGACAGTGTCTTACGCTCTAAGATAATTAAAATCATGATCCATATACATATATGTTAAACATCTTATTTTACTCACTAATCAATGAAGGAAACATTGATTCAATGAATCAATGAAATAACTCAAAGAACAGCTATATTTATAGATCAGAAATATTGAAATGAATGTGTAAATAGAAGCAAACTGATTTCACCACAGAGGCTGGGGAAATCAATGAGAGCCCTACCAGACAGGACAGAATTTGCATGTCAGAGGATTATTTTGCATTACTATCAATTACTTACAACTGAAAAGGTTGTAAAGTAGCTCAAAGGTAATGAAAGATTAGAATCAGACGACCCAAGGGCTTTCCTCCAGACAATGCCTAGTTTCCCAGTAAAGCACAATTCCTTTCCTACAACCACCACAGCATCTCTCTCCCCCGGCAGCCAAGCAAGTGCCAGGCATCGCTCACACTGAAGAGCCTTAATGCCAGGTTGCTCGGGATTAACACTAGTTCCAACATTCCTTTTTCCTTGTTTCTCTCAGGACCACCTGGTTCTTATGTAGATGGGGCTCCGGGAGGCCTGCCACGCCTGCCAGGGTTCCCACACGGGGCAGAGAGGTGAGGCCTCCTGTGGGACAGATGCTTCCTTTGTGTTGCTGTATTGGGCAGGGGAATGGTGGAGGTCGAGGACTAGGGGCGGAAGCTGCAGGGGACAGGACAGGACCTGGTTGTGAAGTGTCTTCTGTGCTATGCTAAGGATTTTGGTCTTGACCCCAAAGGCAGTGGAGAACAACCATAGTCTTTTGAAGAGGTTAGTGAAGTGATCAGGGCTGGATTTGAATGAGATAACTGGAGGTGGCACGAAGGATACACTACAGTGAGAAAATGGAAAGTGTTTCAGGGGTGGGAGAGGGGAGGTGAAAGGGAGAGATGGCAAGTCTTAGCTCGTGGAACGTCCTGAGTGAACAGAAATGACTTTCAGAGAATTTTCTGCCCATCACAGGCACACTCTCACTCTTCTCTTCAAAATATCTCCAGAGGCCAGCCCGGTGGCGCAGTGGGTAAGTGCACACGTTCCGCTTCTCGGCGGCCCGGGATTCACCAGTTCAGATCCCGGGTGCGGACGTGGCACCGCTTGGCACGCCATGCTGTGGTAGGCGTCCCACGTATAAAGTAGAGGAAGATGGGCATGGATGTTAGCTCAGGGCCAGTCTTCCTCAGCAAAAAGAGGAGGATTGGCAGCAGATGTTAGCTCAGGGCAGATCTTCTTCTTCAAAAAATCAAAGCTAAAATAAATTTTAGGAAAACATATCAGGAAAATGACAGGTCATCAGTTTGCAACCTGTCATGTAGATGTCACCCAGCTACAAACTCACTTGATCTTACTTAACTCCTCGCAACCCCCGGAAGGAGGGGATGGCAGCGGTGATTGCGTTTGCTGGGGGAGAAACAGCATTGTAGAGGGCTTCACTGAGTGGCCTAGGGTCACCCAGCTGACAAGTTTTCTTGCCGGAGTTGGCACCCAGCTCTCTGCGGCTGCGCCCGCTCTCGCTGGGTACCACACAGCGTCCCTCACGGTCCAGGCCCAAGCTGCCTATTCCATTAACAGAAAATGGGAGGGGGCACGTATTCTCTGGAACAGTGATCTCTTCCCCTTTCAATTCTAAAATTCTGGCAGCTTCTCTTATTCTGTTTGCAATTCCATGGAGGAATTGAGCTGGTTTGTAAGTTACATCCTGGCTCACACATTTTAGAAAATGAATTTTTATATTCACTCTCAGGCTGGTTATCTGATTTTTCAGAAGCTGCTCTTTCCCAAGGTGCAGAACCTGAAATGACACTCAGGATCTTAGGAGACACGAAGGTGCAGAATAGACCAAAAAAGGAGTCATTACTCTATTGGTCAGTTGGCCAATGACCAAGACAAAAATCAATGACAAATAATGGCTTTTAACTCATTGAGTTAATTTTTCTCTCACAATCAAGATAAAACTGAAATTGAAGATGTCTAGAAATAGGACAAATTTTAATTTCCAGAAAGGCTCCTTCAGCCATTGTACAGGTAACAGATAGCTTCCCAGCCAGTTATCTTATTTATTTGGCTCTTAAAAGTATGAGCTGCGGGGCTGGCCCCATGGCCCAGTGGTTAAGTTCAACGCACTCTGCTTCAGCGGCCCTGGTTCACAGGTTCAGATTCTAGGCATGGACCTACACCACTCATGAGCCATGCTGTGCCAGTGACCCCCATGTAAAATAAAGGAAGATTAGCACAGATGTTCACTCATGTTGGATCTTTCTCAAGCAAAAAAGGAAGATTGGCAACAGATGTTAGCTCAGGGCTAATCTTCCTCAGCCAAAAAAAAAAAAAAAAAAATCAGCTGCAATTAGAGATCCTCAGAAAGCCTCAAAAAAGATGGCCTTTAGAAAGGCACATTTCAGGGCTAGCCCCGGTGGCCTAGTTGTTAAGTTCAGTGCACTCTACTTCTACAGCCTGGGTTTGGTTCCTAGGCACAGACCTACACTACTTGTCTGTCAGTGGCCATGCTGTGACAGTGGCTCACATCCAAAAAGAAGAAGATTGGCAGCAGATGTTAGCCCAGGGCGAATCTTCCTCAGGCAAAAAAAAAAAAAAAAAAGTACATTTCATCAAGCATGAGCCTCTGTCTTCTCATGTTCTCCAGGTCCCTGTGGAAACTTTCATGTGTCACATAAAACTGATGTAACAACATAGTGAGATCAACGCAAATGGTTTCTGTTGTCCCTTTTGCCCTGCTTTACTAGGAAAGTTTGATTTCTCTGTAGTGTGTGAGTAACAGGCTAGAAGTTTGAGACTCTGGAAAGACAGCCAAGAAATGTCACCCTCTGAAAAACAAAAACCACAGGAATAAAAAGGATGACCTTAACTGACTTCTGAGGAAATAACACATGTAAGTGATGATGGGTGACTGGCACGCGGTAGCCCAGAGCAACAGTGCTCACAGGCAACTGCAGACAGAAACCCGCCAGAAAGACAGCTCTGTGGCCGGCACCTTCTGCGAGGCCTGGAGTCAGTGACGCTGAAGCACATTCTTTACTGCAGGCCTTCTCAGAGCCTCTCATGTGTCCCTGTGCACTGTGGACGTCTGAGAGAAGCCAGAGCGTGCGGTGTTTACAAGTGTGTTCACCACAGAATCATCCTGTGTACAGAAACCTACCCCGGCCAGCTCCACACTAGAGGGTTTTCTTAGTTTCACCAAGAGATTCTGACTACCTGCTTGTATATATGTCTACAAATAAATTTATTCATAAAAATAGTTTCTTACGCAAATCAGTTTATACAAAAAATTTATTTACCCAAATGGACTGTAACATGTCTCTGTATGTGCTGTAACTACAGTTTGAGAAGGCGAGTTGAAAAGAGAATTGTCCCGGGCTCTCCAGGCCTTTCTCTGGGGGGTCCTGGCTTGCCAGGGCGGCCACAGCAAAGCACCACAGATGGGGTAAAGTACCACAGACTTACCAACAGAAATTCATTTTCCCATAGTTCTGGAAGCTGGAAGTGGAAGATGAAGGTGCCAGCAGGTCGGCTTCTTCTGAGGCCCCTTTCCTTGCTGCAGACGCCGCCTTCTCTCTGTCTTCCTCTGAGACAGTCTTCAAGTCGTCTTCCTCTGAGCTTGTTGACGTCCTCACCTCCTCCTCTTATAAGGGCGCCAGTCGCACGGGAAGAGAGCCCGCCCTAATGACTTCATTTTACCTAAGCGCCTCTTTAAAGGCCTCGTCTCCAAGTACAGTCACACTCTGAGGTGCTGAGGGCCAGGACATCAGCACGTGAACTTTGTGAGGATGCAATTCAGTCTGTAACAGTGGACCAGGAACGCAAATCATCAACAGCCACACGTTCCACTGAGACCCTAACTTCCCTTGCACTCTATCCCAGTCCTTCTGGAGCAGGCTTCGGAGCCTAAGATGGTTTCCCAAGAGGACATTCCAACTGGGAGGAACTGGCCTCACGGCCAGACACAGTCTTTTTTAAAATTTAATTTAATTTAATTTTTTCAAGCTAACTACTGTCAATCCTCCTCTTCTTGCTGAGGAAGACTGGCCCTGAGCTAACATCCGTGCCCATCTTCCTCTACTTTATATGTGGGAAGCCCACCACAGCATGGGTTTTGCCAAGCGGTGCCAGGTCCGCACTCAAGAACCCAACCGGTGAACCCTGGGCCACCGAGAAGCGGAACGTGCGCACTTATCCACTGCGCCACCGGGCCGGCCCCACGACACAGTCTTTTTTGACCATTAAATTTCCCGAGAAATGTAAAACATCAGCCTGCTGGTTGTGAGCTAATCTCTCAAAAGTTTGGCTAAGGTGATTCAGTTTCCCGGATCCTGATCACACCTAACAAGATGGATACGCTGTGGTTTTTATTTTATTTATTTATTTTCTTTCCTGTGAGGAAGATTGTGGCTGAGCTGACATCTGTGCCAATCTTCCTCTATTGTATGTGGGAGGCTGCCATAGTGTGGTTCCGCGAGCAGTGCTAGTTCTGTGCCTGGGATCCGAAACTGTGAACTCCAGGCCACTGGGGCTGAGCACCTGCACTTAACCACTACGCCACAGGGCCAGCCCTAAAGTGTAGTTTTTGACTAACAAAGCTCGGGACTGGATACTGCCCCTGTGCTGCCTCCACCAGGAGAGCCAAGGAGAAGGGATGATCATCTCTGACTGAGGGCCAACAGAGCCCCAGCGACTGTGGACAGTGACGGTGCACATGTGCTGGACTGCGGTGGGCATTTCACGTCAACATCTCACCTATTGCTTACAGCACGTGTTGGAGATGAAGGTACTATCATTACCTCTAGATGACAGATGAAGAAACTAGATTCTAAAGAAGGTCATACAAGGTCTGATCACAGTTATACAAATAGGAAATCCTTTGAAGCTTCTGTACTTTTAGCTGCAATCTCACACATAGTTTACAGGATCTCACTTGATTCTGTAAGGCAGCAAAACCTGTTCGTCTATCCTCTCAGGTTCCTTAATGAGGGCCTGCGATTTAAACTGTTAAAAGACATTATCAGGAGAAAAGGCAGACAGATTGTATAAATATTTTTATGTACATGGGGGCTTTGCAGAAAAGAAATGAAAACCCAAAGAAGCAGTTAGATTTGGGGGCTTATATATCATTTTAGCAAAAGGTGATAAATTGTGGAGAACTTATTAAATAAAGGAAAAGAGGGTTGGGGCTCTGAGGGGTGGTAAATTGTGGGAGGTTGACTAAGAAATGTATGGTCGATAAGGGTTGTTTAGTAGGATTTGTTATGCTGACTCTGACTCCCGGTGCTTCTCAGGTGACTAAGCCAGTTCTTTTCTTGGAATGGGGGAAGGGAACACCTGAACAAATGGAAATTTATATCACCTTCATGAAGGGAAATTTATGCCTTTAGGCAGAAAGGGAGAGGGCAGAGAGCTCTTCCTGTGTCTGCTCTTTCTCAATTGCTTTTGGCTTAAAATAATCAAAATAATCCTTATGCCAAAGTGGCATATTATGGGATGACACATTTGGACCCCCTTCAGTTTCTTTTTGTTCTTTTTTTGAGGAAGATTAGCCCTGAGCTAATATCTGCTGCTAATCCTCCTCTTTTTGCTGAGGAAGACTGGCCCTGAGCTAACATCCGTGCCCATCTTCCTCTACTTTATATGTGGGATGCCTACCACAGTATGGCTTTTGCCAAGCGGTGCCATGTCCACACCTGGGATCCGGGTGGGCAAACCCCGGGCCCCCCGAAGCAGAACGTGCGCACTTAACTGCTGCGCCACCTGGCCGGCCCCCTCCCCTTCAGTTTCTACAACACTTAGAGACGAGGAAAATGAAGGCAAGAGCTGTCCAGGGTTACAAGGTTAATAAGCAGAAACTAGGTTATAAGCTGATCTCTCTGACTTCAAAGTCAGTAGTAGATGGAGCATATAAACAGAATTTTTAAAAATAAACTTTTAATTTCAGAACAGTTTTAGATTTACAGAAAAACTGCAAAGGTAGCACAGAGTTCTCATGCACTCTGCACCCAGGTTCCCGTGTTACGCACGCACGTCTTCCGTTAGCTCAGTACATTTGTGACAGATAGT